AGTACTGGTGAACTACTGACGTTTGTTTGCATGCCTCTTTTCTGGAGGGAAAAAAATGATATCTGTGGCATCTGCTGTTCCAACTGGATTTCTTTTGGTGCTTTTCCACGGGCACTAAGAAGCATGCTAGCAGTTGTAGGAGCTCCAAAACTACTGTACATTCAGCGCTACATGAGCGAACCTTCATTGCCACGAACAGAGCCCTTTTCTGAAAATTGTTCTGGACCGGGAGGTAATCGAACCCTTCGTCTTCACATCCGGGCGCAGTGTGTTACCACTATACAACAGTACTCTGCTCCAGATTCAGCCTGGGAGCATATCTACTGTGTATCTGTTTTTCAAGACAAGATATCCCTTTCTTCTATTCTCTTTTTTTCTTTGTATCGACTTCTTAGCCGGCTTTTCGCGAGCCTTCCGTGACACTCATTGATGTAATAGAGTTATTAAATAATGAAATGCTTTATAGGTGACGATAATTGACAAGAACGGGACACGACAGCTGGAAGATATCAGACTTTAGGCATATCACAGTTTACCGTTGTTTTTTGATTTTATTGCTTTTTGTTTATTATACGTATGAAATAAAGTATATGAAAATATAAACCGCGTTTGGTCAGCAGCGATTTTACCAAAACATGCAGCTGTTAGCTTTAGGATAGTTCAAATTAATGCCAAGTCCGGAGAACTCCCCAAAACGTTTTATTATGTTTCTTGCGGTATGCTTGACACGCTGGGCGAGAAAGAGAGGAAAAGATATGACTTGGTTTTATACACAAGGCAAAAGAAAAATAAGACAAAAGCAGTTTATTTTGATTTTACGCTTCTTTTTTAGCAAATACTCAGCATTTTTGTCTCAAAAGTTTGGGTTACCATGGTTCCGAAATCGAACTATGCAGCCGTTCGTATAAGTAAGCAGTGAATACCTGCTGCCTATAGCGAATTTTAATTTTTTTTCATCATGATTAATTCTCCAATAATGCATCTGGCAAATTTTCATTTGCATAATATGCAAAAGAAAGCAATGATAAATGTCAAAACGGTACGTCCAGTATAAAATATTACCACCACTGGGTATGTAATCCCTCAGCAAGAGAGTTAAAATGTAAATTAATCCTTTTGTTTGGGTATATAAGTAAGCGAAATTGCGTTAGCCTTATTTACGGATCTTCACGTTGCACCAGACGGTCAGAATTAAGCTACACTTCTTCAGCACGTCCATTGCGCAATTCTTAGTGAACTGTTGAAGGAGAATAATCGGGTCTTATTGTTGGACAAAAGAAATCCAGTTGATTCGGCGGAGCCTCGCAGGTGCTTAGTGAACGTATCATTAGACCCCCTCAACAGTTATTTCTGGTCCGGTTTTAGCATTCGCATTTTTGTTTTCGAGCTTACTTGATTAGAACAATCAAAGAAATTGCAAGTTAAGTGAACAGAAGAAGTTCATACAAAAATGTGCTATTCAAATATCTAATCGGATGCGAAAGGAATACTTTTTGTTATTTTGTTCGAATCCAAACAGATGGACAAAGCGAGTTATTGAACAGCACTTATGCAATGATAAAAGAGCATGGGGAAGGCCTTCAGTATGATGAAAGGGTTCATGAAACTGGCCCATAATACAAAGTAATAGAAAAGCTGCCAGTTACTTGAAAGCGGATAGAGTAGCGTTGATGAAACAGTGGCAGATCAAGAAGTTCCTAATCCCAGCTGATTCCAGTGCTTTACGGCGTAAAAATAATATCTGTGATAATCTTTATCACTTTTACCCCGCCGAGAACTTTCTTCGGTGTTCCATTTCACACCGTCTTCATATCCGGAAACTCTTTCTTTCTGCCCAATTTCAAAATTATCGCGCTATCGCAAATCACTTCGTAAGTCGTGGCATTCAAGTGGAGTCCTTCCATCTCAACAAAGAAATAATGTTAGGAAAAAATGAATTTATGAAAAATCCGTGGGATACTGATTATCCGCAATCTGACCTTCCATCCGTGCATCTGGCAATTTTTCCAGTACTGCACTGTTTAGTGGATAGCGTTTTGGCGATCCTGACGTTCGTTTCGTTTCGCTTCCCCTGCCCGAAGTACTTGACAAGGTTTGCTGTACCCACGGCGTGTGTTGAATATCAGCAGCTCGCATCCAACTCTGGTACCTTCAGACCATGTCAAACTTCATCATTCCGCTATGGGTGCCTTAGCGTCTAAGGAAGAAAAAAGTCTTAAAAATACGGAAATTGCGAATTAAAAAAAAACGACGTGTTTTGTGTTGCACAGTCAGAAAACGACACTGTGAACTGCAACTGACCAAATTACCTTGTAATGCTGGAAATCTCGGACTGCGTGTTTTTATTTATACAGAAGTGAAATGGTATACAAACGTTTCTGCAGAGTGGAACAATGAAAAGTTTATGTGACCAGCCGGAAACAGGTGGTGGTCAAGAAATAGCCACTTCAATGCTCACAATAGCTACAATATCATCCTCCACAACAAGCTGCACAAGCCTTACCAATGACGGGACATCGATCACAAAAGCATCGTCGGATGAGGAGACATCGTCAGCTTTAGCGTCGTTTTCTCACTCGTCCAGTTCCTCATCCACTGCACCTCCAGAACCTACAGCACAGGAACTTCCGGAACTTGAAGACTGGCACAAATACGCGCGTCCGCTGAAACGTCAAACTCCGCATAATGCAACCATTGTGCTGGACAACAACATCACGGTTATTAGTAATTCTCTGTTTATCCAAAGCAAAAACTTCCTTCATATTCGCTCTCTGTGTGAGGCGGAAGTACTCGAAAAGTAGCCGAAATTCGAAAGCACCATCACCCTGTTTTTATCAGCAGGCCACTTTGCTCATCAGCTGCTAACAGCATGCGCTTTTTTTTCCAGGTTACGGTAGATCATGCAGAACTTGCATTAATTTCTCCATATTTTCGTGCTGCATTTTATGGCTGCTTTGCGGAAGCAAAAACTAAATCACTACATTTTAACGAAGCAAAGGTACGCCTGGTATACTTAGCCTGCTGTATCATGCCATACTTGCGAGCTTCATACACACTAGCTACGTAACGAAGCTTTTTTACTTATTTATGTATGCAATTTGCATCAAACAGTAAAGTGGCAGATTGTTTCTCACAAGCTTTATTCCAATGTGTGAGTGTATATGCATATATATATATATATATATATAT